AGAGTAGAAGAGCGCTATATCGTTAACCCCCTTGGATAAAAACCCCCCGCGCTCCTCGCGGGGCCGCGACGCGCGCCACCTGCAGCTCGGCACGCGAGGGACGGAGAGAGGTGCGCGCGTCCGCCGCGGCGCGGCGCGGCGCGGCGATCGCAGCGCCGGCGGCGGTTCCCTGGACGCCGATTGGCTGAGGGCTCGTCCACGCGATACTTGCGATTCTCGAAGTTTTGAACTGCGATATTGCCTGCGATTCTCGAAACTGCCGCTTTTTTTTAGTTTCCCAACGGGCACAGGGCACGGGGATCCTGCCGTGCCCCTCGCGGCTCGTTATCGCCGGAAAAGTGCGTCGGCGGGCGCGCGGTGTGCTTCGCGTAGCGTCGTACGGTCGCCGTGACGTACGACACGTCGAGCGTCGTCGCTTCTACGCTCGGCGGCATCTCCAGCGGGCGGATTTCGGAGGGAGTCGTAACCTGCGCCGCCCGGCGGGCCCGAGAGCCCGGATCGTCCCGTCGTCCCCTCGTCACGTCCGGGTGGGTCGGAGATGCGGCGGGTGCTCTGCTGTGTCAGGTACGTGCGTGCAATCCCAAATTGAGGCGTCCTCGAGACGCCGGGCGTCTGATGAGTCGCATCGGCGCGAGTCGCGCCAGAGATCCGTCGAGTGAGCTCCGTACGATCGTATCGCACGCTGGAGCACGCATCGATCCCGTTGCGGCGTGGATCGATGCGAAGCGGGTAACAGGGTTCCCCAAGAGTGAGGGTAGCGAGTGGTCCCATGAAGCGACCGTCGATCATCGCTGGTTTTTTTATCACGCGGACGATGACAAAAGACGATTAACGCGGCGATGCCAAAGTTCGACCCTGTTGCCGAATCTGGCATCGCCGCGTCGGATTTGGCGCGAAACGCTCGCTCGACTTTGGCGCGAAACGCTCGCTCGACTTTGGCGTCGCGAGGCTAGATGGATGGGAGTTGCACCAATGCCCTCGCGATCGGTGTACCCGGAGGAATCAGAATCCCGACGCGTCTATAATCTACTATGATTGAAGCGAGCGTGAATGCCAATGAGAGCTGCGATTATACATACACGAAGGATATTACTCGGCGGTAAGTTTCAATCGTACCGGTACACCGTTCCCGGTGCAGCAAGTAATTTGTCTACCGGATTGCTTACAGAAGTCAATCAGGATTTAAGCCAACGGCACACGACACTCTTTTTCCTACTGGATCGCTTGCCAATCAGGATTTAGCCGAGGGGGAAACCGCTGAGCAAAATCTTGTACACCAATGCCCACTAATGCCCAGTGGGGCATCACTTTATCTTGGCATCTTATTTTATCTTATTTTATCTTATTTTACCTTACTTTATCTTATTTTACCTTATTTTATTTTTGTAATTCCCTAGCAAGGCCTAATGTCCAGTAATGCCGCAGATCTGTACACCACAATGCCCTCAGCGGTTTCCCCCTTGGATTTAGCCTGGAGTCTCATCTAAAATTCTGCATCCTTATTGGCTCTTGCAAGAAATCCAGAAGGCAAAATAGTAGGCACTTTTCACGAGTTGACGCGTAAGTTGGAGCACGAGGGTCAGAAATGATTACTTTCGTATCATGTTAAATATGTTTGTAAATCACTCCGACGTGCAATCAATCATGCGCTTTGATTGCGCACTTCCGTATATAATAGCGCTCACGTTACTTGTTACTTAACTTACATTACAAATTTGTCAACGCGTGTATTCAGTTAGTAGGATCATACGTGATATGTATCTCTGCACGTGTGGTTCCAGAGTTCAGTTCAAAGTCGTTAGCTCGCTGGTATTTGGTTAGCCACGAGCGAGCAAGTGTCTAATTAAAAATGAACTGTACGTTAGATTTTACATTTGATTTATGTGTCAATTGCTGGTTTCGTTTCCACATTCATTGTCGCTAACGTCGTCAATCGCTCTAATCTGCAACAGGAGAGGCTTGATAATCTTTAGATATTCAAATGAAGACATATAAAAACCTGAATCATTTATAAAATTTGCATTATTCTACACGAATGATGTAGGAGTAAAATATACCTTGCGCAAGAAATATTTCTCATACTATTTGTTAATTAGATCTTTTTATAAATTGATTTCAAAAAGTTGGTTTCTTAAGAGACGCAATTTAACTGAACAAGACGCATGGAAATGTAAAAAAAGTATGGACTTATCTAAAAGTATAAACACCAGTTCAATGTGGTACAGCGTAGCCTGTTACGTAAATTGTGTGCATGCATCATGCTCTGATACTACATATGTTTATGAAAAGGCCAGAATAATTACTGCATTCTGATTATATAATCGTACTTCCGTGGCTGTTTTAGACAACAGTTTTTCTTGTGGAATCGATTTTATTATCAAACTGGATGTTCTCCAAGTTTTAGACAGCAGTTTTTCTCGTGGAATCGATTTTATTATCATTTATTATAAAAATGTAACGATCGTGTGACGATGTCGTTTGTAAAGATTACTTATCAAATTATTTTCTTCATACATTTATTGCATTTTTTAATGAAGCAACATAATTACGACGTTTTTCACAATTCCCCTATTAAATTTGCAATATGTTACAATTTGATCGAGAGTGTAATGTTATAAAATTACATTTTACCTGTTTTTTTTGCTTTTGATAGAATTTTATATTAGAACATCACCGTATAATTCTTTTTTTTATCAGATAAATACATATATATATTGTATATAAGTCACAGATAAGTGGCATACTTGTGCCATGCTGGTAAAGTTAACGGTTATAGTTTTTACGTAACAAGACTGAAGTCAAATGTTTATTTCTCTGTTTCACTTCACCACAGCTACAATACAAGCATTGATTATTTTAATAATCGTGTAGATGAGTAATACAGTAATTGTGTAGTATAATTGCATAGTATGAGTAATATAGTAATTTCATAGATGAGTAATATTGTGGGTTTCTTCCTTTCTTTTCTTATTTCGACAGTTGTCAAGTTATGTACCAGCGTTCTTTTTCTTGGCTTCTTCGGTAATTTTTGCGACGACAGCATTCCATTCATCAGGTCTATTGGTTGTATACCAATCCGATATAGCATTTAGTATATTCTTTTGTTTCTCGGTACATTTCTTACAGTTGGTTAGGACAGCTTCGCCATACACCTCTGAAATTAAAACAAGAAACATAAATTTAAAAAAACGTTACAAGCAGAAATTTGGGTGTTCGATAATGAATGTAAAATTTACTTTTTAAGTTTCATAAAATTTACGCGTTTCGGCAACACAGTGCCTAAAATTACATTGAGGAAGTCAAAACCAAGTACGCAATATTTTACAATAACTATAGACGGTGTGTCACGTTGCAAAGTGAAGTACAAATTCCATCATTTCGAATTTTGATATATGTGTCGTTAACTTTGAAATTACTTCTTGATGTATTCCAAACCGCAATTAAATCATGCCAGGAATTAAAACACATCGAGAGAAATTAAAAATTCGAACGGTCGAAATGTTCAGAGTCACTTATTTAATGTTACATCCTCGGTTGTTTGTTCTCGACATTTGAGTTTGACTCTCGGAGCAAGTCGATATCTATGTAATCTTTACAAGGAAATGAGAACAAATTCCTGTTCAATCACATTTTTTCGTAAAGTCGAAAATCTTTCCGAGAATTAACGATACAAGAATTGCCATGAATAATCGGTAATATTCCTTGTGTATGTACACGGAATATCTACTTTCATTATGTTACTATTTTATTACGTTAAATCATGTAATCTTTGAGTAATTCAAAGTCAGTTTTTCTTTGAGAAAAATTCAGAGTATAGTATCATTGCAACTTCTGCGACTTTAATTTTTTAAATGTCTTTTCGAGCATTTCAAATGAACGGTTGTTGTTCTCTGAGACTTAACTGTTGTATAACTTTATTGTTGCTCAAAGAGTAAAAAATATGTAAAATTACATAAACAATGATTAGGTACTCGCAATAATAATTGTAATTTTACATGAGAGTTTCTCGCAGTATATTTACACGCAATTGACTACATTTACGCGCAATTGACTACATTTCAAAACTACAGACACAAATCCAGACTGCTGAGAAGTTCTTTATTTCTAATCAAATCCAAGAGTCTGTCGTAAAAATTCATTCGTTGCAACGTTCTGTATATGTGGGTGTTTACCTTTTAAGAACTTTGCATCCCCCGTTATGCATGGCGACGTGTCCATCAAACAACCGTAGTACTCTGCTCGCTTTTTATCGTTCTGAAGGATACTCGAGACGTCAACGTCATCGTACCGATCGGAGTAGAGTTCTTCGGCGAGAGCGCACGCCAGTGCGACACCGATGATCACGATGTAACTTAATCGGGCCATCGTTTCTTCTATTTTCACCTCAACTCACGAAGCATTGAACGATCGACCCATTGTACATCTCATTTATACGCTTGGCACTAGATAAAAAAATTACCTGTACGATGATGAATAAAACTGGGAGTACGTCATCTTTCGAGGAAACTGTGAGAAAAAAACCTGATTGATACAATTATTTAAGAGAGGCAAATATGCGTCTCAAGATTTATGGTAATAAATATTTATAGTCAGCAATCTGCATAAATTAATGATCTCGGACCAGATAGCAATCTCCAATTAAATTGCGCATAATGGATTCGTTTGTAAATATAGCAACGATTTTTATTAACTAGACAATATATGAGAAAACGCTAATGTGGGTCACAAGGCAAGATGTAGATAGCCCAACTTGTAAATCTTACATTTTTCTGAAAATATTAGTTTTACGCGCCGATTTCTTTTTTTTCGGACGCAGTTTTCTCACACGTGCGATTATTATCGTCAACAAATTCACATATTCAAATCGATAAACGATTGTTTGTAATTATATTTAAAATGCTACATATTAACATTTTTCTGATGCTACATTTAGCGTTCAATAACCCCCTTTTCCCACGCTGTAAATTATTCTAGCTTTTTATTAAATACTGTAAAGTTCTGTTATTAAATTCCCAGACGGAGTGCATGTCTAAAAGATATATTTAAGACGTCATTAAGTTGTCTCTTAGGCCCTGTTTTTCATTTTCCGGTTAACTGTTAACCAGAGGTTAGTCTACTCTCTTCACAGGCCCAGAATAAGATTTTTGAGGTCTGGGGCTATTGGCTTTGTGGAGGCGCTTTAACGAAAAAAAGGGAAGGGGAGATTTTATACAAAAGGTGTACAAAGCAATTCTCTTTGATTTTCATAAATCCTTCTATTCTTCATCTCCTTTCTTTCAGAAAAAAATACAAGGAGAAGAAATACTTTTCTTACGCGGTTTCAGTCTTCCGGTGCTTCTCTCTACTTCAGTTTCATTCTTACTTACTTACTGGCGACTATAAGTGACATTTTTCTTAAATACTTTAGTTTCATCAGCACGTCTCTTTGAAAGAGATACTTTCTGACCGCGTGCATCGAGAGATGCGAGTGGTTTACTGATTAAAAATGGCTCAAGTAATTTCTTGTAATTAAATGACAGACATATCAATTTTAAGGGCAATACTCTTATCATTGGATAAAAGTCCACTTTATCATTTAAAATCCCTTCAACTTCTGTTATCGCGTAAATAGAAATTTCCAAAAGCGTTCCTTTATTCTCATGTCATTGCGTTTTATCCAGGGTTGGGAAGTAACTCGTTACTTGTAACGAAGTTACAGTTACAGTTACTTCTTTTTGGTAACTCTAACTTAACTTCGTTACTTTCTCTACATCTGTAACTGTAACTCAGTTACATTTTTTCGATAACTAGTAACTAATTTAATAGTTACATTAAGAGTTACTTTATATATTTTTTTCAACCTCCACAGATCGCATTAGGCCTTCGCATTTGCGCATAAACGCCTTTATCGCCGCTTTACAATTCAAATGCAGATTCGATATTTTTATTTTCATTGCAAGGGAGTAACTGCAAAGTAACGATTCGTTACTTTTCGAGTAACTGTAACTGTAACGCGTTACTTTTCAGAATTGGTAACTTGTAACTGTAACTAGTTACATTGTTAGCGAAAAAACTGTAACTGTAACTAGTTACTTTTATAAAGTAACTTTCCCAACCCTGGTTTTATCATCATAGAATTTTCATCGTTCTTCATGATTATTGAAATTAGAGAACTGTAAATATCCTATAAGAAGAACGAAAGCAAGCATTGAAGGCAAAGACTCTGTCAAAATCTATTTATAATATTTTCAATATAACATATATTGAATTAGGTCTATCCGGTTTGTCTAATCGGACAAATTTGCATAATGCATATATGCATACGGAATCTGATTGGGCCATTAATGCCTGCATAAGGAAATAGATCAATAAATTTCTTTCTTATTGCGCGTTACAGGTGCATATGCTTGTGCACCTGTGCAAGTTTATCTGGATACACCTTCGTGCAGTAAAAAATATCTAACTGTAATTTGTAAGGAAAACTTAATTAACTTGGATAGCAAATATTTTATCTCTTTTATTCGCATATTTTTTATATTCCATCACCGTTAGAACAATTGTTCTAGTATTCAATATTTCTATTTGCTTGAAGCCTAATCTACAATGTGCTCTCTGCGTCTAGAAACATTCTATTTTGTAGCTAATTAACGTATACGTTTACGAAATCTATGCAAGTTGATAAATTGTATATTATACATTGTATAATCGTACATTGTTGACAAATTTGTTGAGCGTTTTGATCTGTTTATATAAAATAGAATGTTTCTAGACGCAGAAAGCGCATTGTAGACTTAAATATTGCACGTGGCAAAGTGCACCTTTCTAACGTCCAAAGATGGTCTAAGCTCTCGTGTAGTACATTTCCTTTGGCGTATAAATTACGTATGTATACACGTGTATCCCCTCCATCCGTTTCACGGGTGAGCTGCGTCCTCGCTAACTCGCTTTGGTCTCACTGCCCCCCTCTCTCTCTCTCTCTCTCTCGCAGTCTTGCAGAATGGTGCAGAATGAAATCCCCTACGAGGGAAAACGTTCGTCAGACTCGCGGGAATAGTTTGTTATCGGTGGCCTTGATTTAATCGCCCGTAAGTTTGTATGTAAACATCAGGCCGATAAACCGCGCTCCGATCGTTGATGCATCAGATATGAGTTGCTACGGTGCTCAGTCATTCGCTACGTGACGTACTATGAGGCTACGACGAGAGGCTAACCTAAAGAGGACGTTCCTGACGTAGTCGGTATATTTATTGTCTCCGGATTGCCCACCAAATCTTATTAAACGATGAGCGATGCGCATCAAGGGCCTGCTATTGTTGCTTATCTGCATAGCAGGGAGCAGCATCGTTTTCATCGCTTTCAGCAATCAGCGACCTTCCATTCAGACCCTAGTGACGGAGACTCACAAACAGTTGCGGAGCTTCCAGGTAAATGTATTATTATACAGGGAGCTCTACTACACCTTGCCGTTTTACCCACCCAGTTTTTTTAGCCTCACGCAACAAGATCTTGCTTCTAGGAAAATTTAAAAGACGTTGAGGAGAAGCGTCTAGTGACGGACTTTAAGTACCTTGCGTTACTTGGTCTGGATGGACAGACAACCACCACGCCGATCAGTCCGAAACCTCACAATGTAACGGTTGTGTCGCTCGTAAGGCCTGGAAACGAGCAATATATTTATGGCTTCGTCAGAAACGTCAGCCACTTTTTGCCAAATAATAGTATTGTAATTTATAGCGTCGGTTTAAACGAAGATTCCTTACAAAGTATTAGGCTCGCCTGTAATTCTACGAGATGTAACGTGACCCACTTTGATTTAAATCCGTTTCCTGCTCACGTCGAGGACGACACGCTACATGTTTATAGACCACTAGTTATTCAAGTGAGTAGTTGGGCCCAGGTGTCTTTACTGTGTTTTCAGAATGAGATTGTACTAATCGGATCGATTGCTTTTATGTTGTAGACAGCTTTAAATACGCTAGGTAGTATAATCTATATGGATTCCAATGTACGTCTCAATTCCTCGGACATTGCGAAATACCTCTGTCCGAAATCTGGAATCTTGACTTGGCCTACGAGGCACGCCATTAGTTCACTGACACATCCAAAGATGTACGAGTACTTTCATGCCTCCGCTGAGAGTTTCTTCTTTCTCCCACTGATTAGAGCGTCGCACTTGATAATTAGCAATTTTAAAGACATTAGAGAGAAAGTAATGCTGCCTTGGGTCCAGTGTGCACTGACAAGGGATTGCATCTCTCCCATTGGTAGGTGTACTTTCTTTCCCAGCGTTATACATAGTAATTTCTTTATTCTTGTACCGATGGTTGCATAATCTTCTTACATTTTGGAAACGACAATTCCGGTCAATTGTCTGTATTAAATTTGTGAATTTTTCGGGTAGGTGCGCAGTCGGCGGGCTGTAGATTCAACAAGAAGCCACAATATCGGTATTCCGGCTGTCACGCGTATGACACCTCCGCGTTGAACATAGTTTTGGGGTTGCATTTTAACTTTGATGATACGTACTATGTACACAAGGAGCGGGAGACGTACTTTAACAAGATCCAGCCCGAGGAGATCACCGAGGAATACCTTATGATCACACGGCAAAACAATGCCACCGAGACCAACGTTAAAAATTTCATTCAGGAGCGCTAAATCTTTTTTGATCTCAATTTACCTTAGATAATACGTCGGATAAGCACAACTTAACTTAAGATTGTTAAGCATTGAATTAAATTATAATAAATAGCGGAATGACGAACGCTCGGAGTTGCGTTTCGAAGGCATCAAATGCCTTCTCTCAATGCGTTCCTCCCTTCTTTCCTTTCTCTTCCTTTTATTATTCTTTTAACGTTACAGCCGACAATTGAGTGAAATGACGATACTATATATATGTATATGTGTGTTGCAGTCTCATTACATTTATTTATAAGGCACTAAACTGTCACGATATCTGACATGGTTCATACAGTTCATGAATCCGTATGCTTTCGACAACACGTCATACACTTGTACTTTTCTTAACAGGGGCCGACGATGAAATCTTTTCACAAAATATTCTTTCTCTATTATGTACAGATAAAACGTAACATAGAATACACATATTTTTAAATTATAGAAAGAGCTCTAAGATTCTTCGGAATTGCGCTTATTCTACACTCGACATTGTAAACAGTCGATACGTAACACGGAGACTATCTGCCGCGTTATCTATTTATATCTATCTCTCATCTCTGTCGTCGGCCCTCGATACACATTTCAATCAAACGCACGAACATATTAAAGTGTGATCGTGTTATTACGAGTGCAAATATTTAGCCTTGTAAGATTTACGCAGTCATGGATTTCTCCTCTTCTTGAAGTCGCTCGATATCAGATTTGTTCATGAAGTAGTACGAGGGCTGCCGAGATTTCTGAAAGCCAAGAAAATTAGTTCCCCGCTTCATCAGTGATTCGGTACCCGTAGAGGAAAGTCCCCTATCATGGGATAAGCTTCTAATATGAGATAGCAGGGTTTTTGCTAAATTAATAGACACCATCTATCTTGGTTTCGTCGTTAATTTATTGCCCTTGGGGTGATTTTGATGTTGAAAACCTACTATCTCATGTTAGAAACCTATCTCATAATAGAGGACTTTCATCTATGCGCATCATCTCACCAGATCTTTGACAATACGTTTCGCGCCTGCCTTGATCAATATATTACTCAAGACTTCCACGGACGGCACGCCCATTGCGTAATGAAGAGACGTTCTCTCTAGCTAAAACGAGGAAAGATATATTCTTACAGTTTACGAATGCAAACTTTTATAAATTCCCGTCAACAGTAATTATCTCAATTAATTATTTGCGTTAGAAAATTAGATCGCTGCTCATTTATTCTTCAATTATATCTCGCTGGTTTAATCAATTAAATTTTTTTCTCCTTTCTACGTCAGCATGCTGTTTCAATGATTCATACGTTATCGCCGCTGCGTAATGTTTCTGGATACGTTTTCGCGATAAACTTGGCGATCTCTTCATCTTCCCGAAGTACAGCGATGTGCAGTGCGCATCGGCCGATCGAGTTCTTTCCAACCGCCAGCAGCTTGCCACCCCCGTTATTTTTGCTCAAAAGCTCCTTCGCACGTTCCTCGTCGCCCGCCCGAATGGCGGCGTGTACCTCCTCGCGTTGGTTCTGGAATACGCGTTGGACGATCGCGTTAAAAGTTATAACTCGCCGAACAACCGTGTCATTTCTCAAGTCGCCCCTCCTGTCGATCGTACAACTTACCACGTAATTAGGAATTGATTGCAGAAATTGCACGGTAGCTTCGTGCTCTCTTTGCGCGGCCACGTTGATGATGTTCACCCCGTCGTCCTCGGCGTCCAGAATATGGTCGTAGCCCTCGAGCAGAAGCTCGACCAGCTTTTCAGTCTCTCCTGCGTATCAAAATGAGATCGTTGTGGTTTTCTCGCAACACACTTTATGTGGGGATGAACTTGCGTTAAGGGTTTTGTCTCTTCTCACCTCTCGCCGCGAGGTAAACAACGAAGCGGTCGATCTCCTCGACGTTCTCCCGAATGTTCGCCTGTTCGGCGACGTCTCTGGCTGTCCGATACAATTCATCCCTGAAACCGACATTGACCTGCGTCTCCAGCAGCAGGTGGTACAAGCCATCCTTGGAATAGGAACGAACCGCCGCGAAGTGGATCATACTCTGCCCGTGTTCGTCCTAAAACACATCCCTTTCGTCCTTATCCGCTGTCATTTTTCATACTTTCTAAAAGTTCAATCAGTGCATTATCACTGAAACAACAACTCAGTGCTACACTGTAAATCAGCGGATATTCACTGTTTTCAACGATAAACCACTGATTGACTTTTAGAGAGTAGTTGCGAAAAAGTTTCGCTCCACGAAAGTTGAATTATAATTTTCATTCGCGCACTCTGTTAGGATTGCTGAATGTGGACTCGGGTACGTCCGAATCTGGGCTTCGGGGATAGCCGGCGTCATCAAACGTCTCGTTCTCGACATTATCCAAATGTCCCTCTTCGCGATCGGGTATAATGAGAACGTCGGATTCCTGAAGGTCCAATGAAGAAAGTCAGTTCAACATTAATGCGAGAGTAATTTCACTTGAATGGATTGGTCAGTTCTTCTGTTGTTTGAATCGGCCGCATACCTGTTCATTGGTTTTGTTCTTGCTAGCAAAGTTGTATAAATATGTCGCGAGATATGTAATCGGATCCTTTGGACGTGCGTTAGCAACTTCCGTCAATCCTTTAATTAAGGGATCGCCAAGCGCTGAAGAAAGGATGATTTTGTTGCATTGATTTCTATGAGGATACGATACAACTGTATGAAGCGATACTTACATGTTGCTAAGTATTGTCCTTCCTCCGTGCGAAATATTGGAATGTCGATTTCGCTGTCATCTGTAAAATAAATTCCATTAGAGTGTCAGATAATAATTTCAAAATGGTTATTGTGCGCACAGTTTAATTAAAAGTTAGTTTAATTGAAAAATTTTGTTAAACTAGCAATCGAGTTATAAAATAAAATGAAATTATTATTCTTAAATTAGCATGCACGTAATTCTTAATTTTAATGCAGTCTGTTCGTTACTGAAAATAATTATTGCCTCCCTATAAATTTTAATAAGACTTCAAAATTGCAGAGGCAAAATAACCATTTGTCTTTTTATTTCAATTATTTCTCATAATTTAAAAACTCATTATACCTATTGGTGCAATAATAGTTTTCAGTTTTATTACAAATATATTATAAAAGTCTGTGTGATACAACTCAGCAAAATGTGACGGCAATACATAATTAATGTTACTTTTTACAATACGCATACAAGCTCAATGTCTAATGTGCAAAAGCATAGACAAACACAATTGCATAACAAACACAGTTGATTTGCCTGAAAGAAAGTGCACTGGTGATTATTTGTATAACATGAGTAATTATAATCGCGCGCAGTTGTCAATCAACAGACGTATAAGTGTCATTTTTTATCGTCTCATCGATAAAAAGAATTTCCTATCATTGAGTAGAATATTAATTTCTATTTATTACTCTTCCATTGTGTAATAAATATTTTATTACATAACGTCATACTACACAAGATAATAGTCATAAAAATCTATGGATTATACTTGTACATATTTATAAAAATTACAGTCTGACACTTATACGCCTATTGGCTCGTTTTTTAATTAACGAATTCACATTGCGATGCTTAGAATAAGAGTAAAAAAAAGGGTACCTTGATCCCCATTTCAGGACGAATAACACTGATAATGAGTTGGAAAGACGTGTGCTTCGCCATTTTTATATTTGTGTGAACATCGACTCGTGCATTACATATAAAGAAAGCTATTGAAAAGGCTTTAACATTTTTTAAGCTTGTTGTGCCACCAATATCGCGTCAAGAATTTCAATATATTCGACTTTACATGAAAATGGTGTCGTGCTTAGAATTCTAAATGCGATAATCTACAGATACATAAGGAACGAGGTATTTCCTATAATTCTCAGTTGTAAAAGATGAGTAATTTATTTCGCGTTGAGGAGATTTCATGTAAAATCATTGCTCATACGAGTAATGTTACATTGTACAAAAGTTAATTCTTTAAATTTGCCGGCTTTTTGTCTCTCGTTCGAGAGAACAGAGATTTACGAGGCACTATTGTGCAACGTTGTGCGATAATGGTGTCGTGTATATACCAATAATGCTGACCATTTACTAACCTAATCAGCAATCCTGCGTTCTCGTCGCCGGTTAATCCGATTAATAGGGCGACTACGATTAAGATTTAGCGTTTCGTTTAAGAGAGACGCTGGGTGCACGAGAGAAAACAAAATAACGTTCACACATCTTTCCAACGCATTTCTCTCTCTCCCCTTTCGCTCATTATGGCCTAAGTGTTATTTAAAAAGTTCAGTCTGCGAAGAGTAATTGACGATCAAACATTGGCTAATAATTATCACAGAAGATTTCCATGAATAAGCGTAAGTGGGTTTTTGTAGAAAGACTTAATAGAAGGTAGAGAACGATGGCTCTCAAAGGTGATCGACGATCACGAGTGTTGTTAAATGAGGAATTAGAATTTATCGCTTAGAATATCGATAAACTGAACGTTCTTGATACCACGATTGAAAATCGTGATTCATTACATGTCGAACAGGTTTATCTAACGAATAGTTAATCAGTCGTATCGCTTCTTAGCCTTAAATATGTCTGACTAATTTGTACTTTGCAAAATTCTCTAGAAGAAATCGGCGATTTTTTTCGACAAGCTGTTCTAAATACACCTGTCTCGTAGAAATTACTATTATTTTCGATAACACTCATTCGCCTCGCCGAGTTTGCTCTTGACAAACTCTTGCTTGCCGATTTGGTCTATGGAGCTGGCAGAAGATGACTGAACTACAGATCATCCTTAAGAGAACTTAGAATCTAACATTATTGTCTCTCGTAATCGTGACCAGTCGATTCGTCTACGCCTTGAGATTTCTCGACGCGTTCGCCCGCTTGCGGAATATGCCGGTGATCAGATTGGCGATCTTCATCGAGTTGTTCATCGACAATTCCTTTTCCAGTGTGATGATGTTGTGGACCGCTCGGGAGAAGTCCTGGAGGGTCTGCAGCTCGGTAATACCCAGCGATTGCTGATTGCCGACTCTCACCATGTCGCTTTTGACGGTGTCGCGCACGTTCAGGCCACGCACCACGCACAGGTGCCGCAGGTTGTCGGGTGTTTTCGAAAGCTCGGGGAATCGTATGATCAGGCAGAATCTGATGGTGTTGCCGAGGGTGTGCGGACGGGCGGTCAGGAAACCCAGCTTCTGATCCCGTTTGAACTTGAGCTTCTGGTCGAATATCATCATCAGTTTGGCTACCCTGACGTAAGCCCGGCCCATCTGGCCTGGCCGGTTCTCGTTGGTGCGACAAACGATCCTCAAGTGATCCTGAATGTTCACCCATGCGGCGAGATCGCCGGCGGTGGTGACGTACACGCCGCGCCCGTAGGGCCAGTGCTTGCCGTGAAGACGCCGGTCGTCGTTCGGCTCGAATTCCGTGATTGGCAACAGCAGACCGGCTGCCGCCAATTGCGCTCGTATTCGGCTCGGTTGTTCGAGAATTTCGTTAAGCGTGAAATACGTGCCGGCCTCGTCCTCGCTGCTACCTTCCGCCATCAGGTCGCTTATCTCCGGGCTCATTAGTTGACTGGTGATCTCCCTCTCGACCTCCTCCAGTTGATTGACCGTCAGAGTCAGTGGCAGGCTGTAATTAGCCAGATTCCGGGTGCATTCTAGGATACCGGCTTGGACAAATTTGACGATCGGGTCTAGGTCGTACTGCTCGATCGCGGTGACGATCGTCTCATCCGGCGGGCTCTCCTCGCCCTTCTCGCCCTCTTCGACGTTGAAGAAACGCGGTAGCGGGTGGTCGGGCAGGTCGCCGCTCGCGGTTACGCAGTGCAGCTCCCGTATGAAGGGATCGAAGAACTCCGTGAAGACGACGTAACTCTCGAAGTCGGGCGCGACCACGCCGTAACCGTGATCCTCGTCCGTGACAGTGCTGACGCTCGAGCGGGCGCTGCTGACCTTGCTGCCGTTGCTCGTGATGGTACCGTACCTTTTCAAGGCAGGCCAGATCACGTCAAAGAGATTGTGATCCATGCGAGTCACACGGTGCTTGATCAAATCGAATACGGGCCGTTTGAGGCAACGAGCGACTAGTGTACCGGCGTTCGACGGGGTCTTCGGTATCGACGTTCGCCGGTTGCCCGCCAGCAATCGGAAACATCGTTCCAGGGTTGCCAGGATCTCAGGCTCGCTCACATCCCGCCGAGCCGAGTAGATATCACCTCCGGGCACTGTAGATCTCGGCCGAGTACAGCAGCGGCGGCGGCGATTGAAAGAACAGCCGGGTTAACAACCGTCGGCGTTGAGAGATGTAGGGTTGATGAGAAAGAGCGAATAAACAAATTTCGCGGTAACGTTAGTGACGATTATCAAAGGGCGAATATTGGAAAATTCAACTACAAATGGAATATATCTCACTTGAGGAAGTGCATGAGACGATAAAATTGATTTGTCTTACAGTTCGTGATAGTAATTGCGAGATCAAGAATTTTATCACCGCGATGAGATTACGAAGCGACCAACTCGCTTTACAACTAGAATTCAATTTTCCTTGATCTTACAATAATCATATAACTAAGGTATTTGGAATAGGCAGTGAATTATATTTCGCACCTTAGCTCGATCAACGCGCTGAAGTGTTAAGTGTTGACTTGATCACATGCTATTATAAAAATAATCGAGCAAAGCGTCAAATCAATCCACAAAATCAGTAAAGGGAAAACACTTGTGCTCTCAGCAAGTATTCGACTACGATTCTTACGCGGTATTTGAGGGGCGACCTGATTGCGCTTGTCTAAAAAGATATAAATCGTACGTGTACGAAACTGATTACAAAATACTTTAAATTAACAATGTTTTTTGTGTGCGAACGGGAAACAGTCAATTGATACTTCACGAAATCGCGACACATAGAATATCTGTGCCAAGTGCGACATTGTCGAGGATCCTTATGAGATTTTTTAACTTGGAACATCTTTTCGAACACAAAACATGAAGAGTGACATCGCGAGAAGGAGTGCCCGGACGGTTTATGTCGCGACTTTTTTTTTATATGTATATTGCCGATGGTGCTTTAAAATGTCTCAAATCAAGAAATACCTTTATCCGTCAACATTTCGTCGGCGAGCTTCTCGCTAGCTCCGAAATCGCGGAGAAGCTTTTTGTGCGATAAATCGCTGCGATTTTGCTTGTAATAATCCGCCTTTTGTCCAAACTACATGACAAAAGATAAGGTTTCATGGACACTTGGCTTGCAATAGAACAGTTGAGTCATGAGAGAATTCTGCGTGTACTCGTTAAATTAATTCTCTCCATTTCTATCAGAACTTGATTGTAAATCCCATTATTCGGAGGGCGCAAAATTGCATCCGATTCTATTCGCGATAATTAATCAAGATCGTGACAAAATATCGTAATTGCACTCACGTTGTCCTGTTCTAAAGGGTTGGCACCCAGGTGTAGCAAAAGATTATAGTAATGGCCGTTATCAGCGAGCGTCGCGGCGTAATGCAACGGGGTACGTCCGTCGAGGTCGATCGCGTTGGCGGTTTCTGGAAATCTTCCTGCCAGGTACCTAAATCAGGTATAAAATATTCAATCGAATGGCGTGAGTCAGTAGTGCCGAGTTTATAGCCTGTCATTCGAGCAAAAGTCTATCGTGATATGGTCGGGATAAATCATGAGCTAAAGTCGACGGCGCTCGGTCGAGCTAACAGTTATATTGACATTACTAGACATCTTCAAATGTTTGTATCTTCCTTATTAGGACGACATTAATTTTTAAAATGTCTTAAATGTCTGTTGCAGATATTAGATTACAAGAAAGATATTAAAGCAATCGAAACGCGGCGCAAACGCAAGTTACGTATGGAATATATTTTTAATCATCACTGACGACTATAAGTGACAGTTTTCTTTCGTGAATATATAAATATATTCATGTGTATATATAAGTGTGTTAATTAAATGAAATACCTGATGACAGCGGTGTTTCCGAAGACAACGGCCACGTGCAGTGGCGTTGCACCGTGGGGCGACGACGCGTCTCGCGCCACCGCGAATTTGCGCCGATCCAGTGCGCTTTGCAGGTCGCGAAGATTCCCATCTCGCGCTGCCAAGTGCACGGCACGGATTTTCCCCTAATATTACAGAACAGGTAAATTTTACACGTAAACAGTTAAATCTGTGTTTCGCACTTGCCCTTCCGTTATTGCGCAACGACGTACCATATAGGTCGGAACGTTGTCGATAAAAGCCTGGAGTTCGGGATTCCCGGTCTGTCGTCCGATCAATCGTCGGCCATCGCCATTGAGAACAAGAACCGCTAATTGTTCCATATTGCCTTCGCCCAGCAGACCCTCGACTTCTGGGTCCCGGCCCATGCTACCCTCAGTCAATTCTACCTCCGCGGGCTCCTTGTGCTCGCCGACGATGACCTGCTGTCATATTCAGGTGCAAAATCATGCGCGCGGCCAGGAGACATGTAGACGATCGATAGGAGATATTAATCGCACGTGGGAATCTCACATGCGAATCGATCGTATGTCTCTTGCCGCGCCTACGCATACTCTACGTTTGTGTGTGTATGGCACACAGGGTGTGCGTCTAAAAAAAGACATCGCTAGTAGCGGACTTTCGTCCAAGGTATCGTGAGAATTTCTTTTCTTCATTTTAGCGAAGGAAGTGAACGGCAAACTTTTTCTCAATTTAAAAAGTGTTATTATTGAACGTAATTGCCATTACATGTCATACATAGTTATTATACAACGTTGTAATCCCAGGGGCGGACATAGATTGAGATATCCCGGCTTCTTCTTTGTATTATACAAGGCGCAGTGCAGTGATCGTGACAATTTAAGACAATACCTGCTCCTCGTCTTGCGCAGGATCGTCAACGCCGGAATCGCCGGTGCTAGGTTCGTTTCTTTCTTCGTGCTCGACGCTTTCCTCGATCTTCGGGGATTCCTCGTAGACGCCGTCTTCATTAGCGGCGGCTTCAGGCCCGTCCTCCTCGTCTTTCGTCGGCTCCGTGACAGGTCCAGTTACCACGTCATCGTCCGATGACGCTTTCTCCTCTTGCTCTCCTTCATTCTCATTCGTGGCATCTTCCTCGTTATTTCCCGCGTCCTCGTTCTCGTCTCCCCCGTCGTTCGCCTCATCTTCATCTCCATTCTGCTCGTCTCCGTTCGGAGTCGCGGCTTCTTCGCTCTCCTGTTGCTCATCGTCGGCTCTCTGTTCCACGAAATCGCCCATGTAATCCATCATACCATTGACCTGGAATTACGAACTGGAAGCCCTCCCCTCCTCACGACGAAGGAGGAAAAAAAAAGAAAACAAAACTCTCTAGTTTACTACTCATTCCGACTACGACACTACATTTCGACCGGGATGCCAATTCTATGTCCGGCTACACGGTGCACTAAATAATCCGTAATCAATACAAACGTGTATTATACAGTAATAAGTATACCCAAGCTTAGGCAGGTAGAATACCGTGCATAACTTATAGACAACGATGACAAATGTACCTTGCCATTCGAGCCGTCCGAATCCTTCATCGTGGATTCGGCGCTACCGAAAGCGCTATCGTCACTGCTAACCTTCTTCATGCCTCTCATAACGGCTTGTCCCATTTCCAAGATTCTCCAGTCCCAGCTTTTCGGATAAGTGTCGGAAACACGCGGCGCTTCCGGTATCAGCGACAGATTCGACAGGTCTACGTCCGAAGGGCGGTTCTTGTAAAACGCGGGCGCCTTTTGTCTCTGATTAGCAGCAAAATTTTACAGGGTGCGATTATCTTATCGATTATTTATCTTTCAGTTTCAGATGGCACTCACGTTATCGAGTTTACTTTCATCGGCCCCGTGCTCCGTCAGGAGGTCGTACATGACGCCGTCGTCCTTAAGCGCAGCTGCATAATGCAACGGAGTCTTCCCCTCGTTGTCCTGAGCCGCCACCGTTGCGGAAGATCTCTCGAGGATTTCACGAGCGACGTCTGTGTATCCCAAACCGGCAGCCTTGAGAAAGGTAAGCATTTTCTCACTTTTGGCAATTGGAAAAAATTCATTGTACCTTTGTCGAGGGAGCTTACCTTGTGCAGGGCGTTTAAGCCATTGCTGTCCTTGCCGCACAAAACAATAGGCGAAATGGGCGGTTCATCCAACTTCTTCTTGAGACCCTCCAAGTCGTTATTAATGACCGTCGCGTGAATGTCTTTTATTGTTCCCTACCGAAATCGTAATAATTTTATTTAATAATTTTTTTAGCCACCGCGGTATTGACTTTTAATGTCATAAATAATTAAATAATAGGAGAATATATGCAATCATCTGTTGACGTACCATAATAAAGGGCACGGCCTCCAGGAATTTTCTTATTCGCGGATTGTTGCTGGTCTCGCATCGAAGTTTAGACCCGTGTCCCTCCCACAGCACTTGCTGTAACTTTCCGATGTCCTTGTTGTGTATCCATATCCTGATATTGGAGGGCTTGAAATCCATACCTGAACATGAAGTGAGCTACGATTTAGACAATATCGTGGGAACCTCATGATTTAATTTAATTCATACCAAAGAATGTGAAGTACCCTGTATTTCATTGTGACGAGAAAATCGATAAAAACATAAAAGGATCTCAACGATGGCGAAATATAAATGTAAGGCAGTTATAATCACCATGTCGGTCTTTCGATAAGTTTTAAAAATTGCTTAACTACATTAAATCAATTTTTATCTGAATAACTGAGCAACGAACGGAAAATAAAATATACACAAGCAACCACATAATCGTCGCGGAAACATTACGCTGTAAGGTTCGACCGTCTTTCGTGATTGTTGCATTTAAATAGTGATGTTTTTACGAAGTACCGTATCACGAAATATATTTATGAACGATACGACTCGTCGAGTATACCGCGTGTCATTACGAAGACATTAAATATTTGAAATTCTCGAAACGAGAAACGTATGCCTCAATAAATATTAAACGTATGTTTTTACGGAGGTACGTGACGAAAATAAAACTGAAGACCTTTTTAAGGACTGAGGATATTATCCTCAGATTTATTTTATATGAATCTAACTTCGCAATTTATAGCCTCGCGAAAATAATTACGTCATACTTGTATCAGAGATCGCTTGCATAATTGAAATGTGAAAAGCCGATAGTCGGCATTCTCCGCAAATACATCTGAAATTCCGCCCGATACGTTCAGGAATGCTTATTGTTAAAAATGAATTGGACGTGGTTCGTTTCGACCTATCGATGCGCGCCTTCGGTAATAGTTACATGCACGCTACGTTTAATATTTGATATCGTCTTGAATACGCGGATGGCGAGCGCGAATGCCGGTTAATAAATTTTCTAGGAGGTGGAGCGGTGTACGGAGTTTGTTACTGACACGTTTCGGAGCTGTGCGCACAGTGCATATAGACATTGCATTACCCGGTAAAGGGAACCTGCATTACGCTACCTGCGCCTGTTTACAACTCTTTACCTGTCACGCTTCGGTGTTTCTAATAAATTATTATTGCCGCGATGGTTCGTGGAATCTGACGATCACGTAAGATTTCTCAAGGATTGAACGAGTAAATACATACAATAATAATCTACTTTGTGACGAGAGATAATAATTTAATGAGTAGCTCTAATTGCGCACGGCGACAAATCTTTAATTTTATAGCAAGGGAAAGAACAAAAAGGCATTCACTAAACCGTTCTTATACGCGATATAAAGTTAGGTAACGAGAGATTGCTTTGTGAAATTTATTATTCCAACAGCGCAAGTAGTTGAAGCTATTTACTTGTATCGCGCGCAAGCAATTTAGCGAGAATTTCTTATGTCCAATCGCGCAAGGGAAGAAGGCGATCGTTGGAATGTATTTACAGGAAATTGCTTTGACTTCAATTCTCGAGCGTAATTGCTAGTATGGCGGTACGATCGAAGAATGGAAGATGAGTTCTTATCATTGACGAAATTAGAACTCGGCCGTTGTTACGACGGTAGGGTCGATCCACGACCTATTTACGTATGCGAAGTCGTTTAACGAGCGGAAAAGTCGTTTCGTTCCATATAATTACCTTACGTGGCAATTCGTTGCAATTTATTCTATTCGCGTCGGCGCGATGAATATTCAAGACACGTTAGGAGTAAAAGAATCATCGCAAGTTATCAAGTTGTGCACTTGCGACTAGACTCTTGCTGTTTCGTTTGGGGTTTTTAATTCGCACGGGGGTGGACGCGGTATAATTCTTCGTTTCGACCGTTTTCGACCTCTATCGAGCGCCGCAGTTAGCCTTGCCTTACGAATTTATGTGCTATCGATTCTTCACGGTCATTAGAAACGGATATGTGGGGTATAAGGCGAGGAATCTATATCCGCGAATGTAGGGAACGGGCGAAAAACGCTATAGCACTCCGCCGGTCGCAAGGTTGCCCGTCGATTTCGTTCGCGACGTTTCCTCGAAATTGTCTTTAACGACTCGCTGGCGAACCAACGGGATTAATGTAATATTTAAACATACTTATCCACAGTATTGAATACAAGAAGTGAGGATGTGGTATGTATGTAATTTAACAATACAAGTCACTGCGTATACATTGCTTGTCTACTTAATTCGTAGAATATCGTGTATACCTTGCGCGATGTACAGGAAAAGAAGAATATTCTCTCTTTGTGTTATATATTTCACATTTTTAAGTCTCTTAAGAATGACGATACTCACTTTCCTTTCCGGTACTTTTCCTTCGTCGAGTCGTCATCTCCTCTTCCGGCAATTCGACCTCCGCGGAGTGCTCCAGGTAATAAGAGGCCGGGTTCCCTCTCTTGTCGCATACACTAGCGTCGCATCCGCCTTCTATGAGAGTATCCCAAATCGAATCGGAATCTTTACACGCGCAGCAGTAATGCAAAGCTGTACGTCCCTCCTAAACAATGAAGGATGGCGCGTGTGAGGCGCGATCGTCGACCATAAATTAATGATTAATTTGGACCCCCCGAGATTTACGTCTTCGACGAAAGGCGAGGGTGCCGATAGGAAATGTACGCCAGGGTTGATATACGCTGGATGATTTTACTCGCTTTCGTTTCGCGTTTGCATGTTAGTGTGAGCCGGCGAGGAAAGAACAGGTGGTTTACACTTCGTTATTATTGTCAGCGTCACGCGATGCGGGATCGTGACAAACGTTGCTAGGAAGAAGGTATTCGATTATTCAGGCACCTCTTCTCGAGGGAGTTGACAAACGTTTGCGCTGCGACACGATTCCGCCGTGAAAATAGGCCTCGCGAATCTTGGGAATTATACAAGATAGCCGATCCAAGTTTTAGACTCATTAAAGCCCGTAAAATTGGAGATTAAGGCAGCTACTTTTTTCTCGAAACAGAGGCATTTAAAAAGAAAGAGAGAGAGAGAGGTCCCTTGGATTGGTTTTACGGTCACGAAAACGGCCGTGTTAAGCAAACTTTTTATTATTATAGTTAAGACGCTTTGACTGATATCGATTAAATATACGGTAAAATTTCTTGCGGTACAAGTAATTCGTTTCCACGGTTCATGGATAGCAAAAGAAAGCGACGTACCCTGTCCTTCTGTTGCGGCGCAATAGGGTAATTTTCTATCAGCCAAGCAACGATCTCGGGTTGATCGTAGTAGACCGCTTTGTGTAGCAAGGGTACCCCGCATGAATCCTTGGCGATCGCCAGCTTCTTCTTCGACTCCTCGGATATTATCTTCTGCGTTTCAGCTAACGAGCCGCGCGCAACCGCATCGTGCACTTGCGAGATCTTCGTCTAAAAGAAATCGAGCGGTCGATTCAATTCTTACGTTTCTCTCTTACAATTGGTGAAACTTTCTCAGCCTGACACCAGTTCTTCGGGTAGAAATCAGGCTGTTATTAATCATGCCTAATTTGTAATGAACCACTTACCAAGTAGTTTGGTAGTCCCTTCAGGAAGACACGAGTTCTAAGATCCTGCGAGTGTTCGCTTAACAGGCGCGAGCCCCGACCCTCCAACACGACATTTTCGAGTTTCTCGAGTTCGCCACGCTGCAACCAATTTCTCACGGCCGAGTGCATTTGGGCCTCTGCAACGCAATCCCAAACTTTAGATGTTATAAAGGCAGAATAATTTTAATGTAGTTGGTTTGTGAAAGTATCTTAATGATGTTCGCGGAGACACATTCTATCTCACATAATGTCTCATCCTACTGCATGTTCTTTATGCGTAACATGTATGATTGTATTTATGTGTAACGTGCGTGATTGCATTCGCTATTGATAATAAGAGCTTTTCAATATGAGCTTTACGATATAAGGAGAGTCGGCAAAACATATTTCACAAACGTTTCGCCGTTGCTGGCTTCTCATCGTTATTGATTCGCGTGCTCTGCAGCATTCAAACATATTTTTCGCTTGCATATTCATAGTGCTTTATGGATGATCGGCGGGTCTGAATGTAATAGGTATTCATGACACGCGAAACGTGATATTAGTCGGAAGCGCGCATAAAGATGCTCCAATATGCAGTCAAAAGCTTCAATATGCAATTTGCCGAGAGTTCATGTTCCGACAGATTTTTTTTTCAATTATATTGAAGCGTAATTATGTAAACTATACCGCAAAAGATCGCCTTATGCCGCGATGCGGTTTCGAAAATTACGTCGCGGTAATGATTCCATTATGCACTATCGCACTGGATCTCGTCGGCTGTTCACTCATTACTGTAAACGTCGTGATTAGGACATACTTGGACTTTTCCTCTTACGAAAGCGATCGGTGAATTCCCTGTTTTTATTTATTCAATGCCACACATGCGTGGAAGTTTAAAGGATATAAATATATCGTGAATTCTACGCGCTACCACCGATGATTTACGCCTTTCCATTTACGTTTTCGTTTCCAGGAATATTAGTTTATTAAGTTATCATTTAATATTATAAATCTTGCAACACAAAATACTCATGCAAGTGTTTTTTTTTTTAAATCTAAACAGAATGAGTGGATAAAGAGAAATTAAACTGTGCCTTTCAAATTTCAATTGCGAATATCGCGAAAGTAATCGATATGATTTGGCAATCGTACCAATCATCTTTTTACATAAAGTCCAATATTAAACGAAAATGAAAGCATATCGTGCAAAACTTTCATCAGTTAAAAACTAACATGCTCCTTTGACGTGTGCGTAGATTCAGAAATTAAAAAGCCAACCAAAATAAATTTTATATTAAGCTTTCAATGTGTTGAGACTTTTGGATATTTGCGCTAAAGATGGCTCGCATTTTTATGATTGTTAAAAGATATACGAAGGATAAAATCCACGCAGTGCTTTATTCGGCAGTGCATCGAAGGAAAAGTGGTACCTGATCGGCTTCGATACGCCCCGGCTTTGCGACCAGCATTTCTGTGTTAAACGGATCGTGCGGGTCGAACGACGTGCGTAGCAGCGCGTTCTAAACAGATATGATACACAGGCGTCGCGACGCTGCGACACGAAGAAGCGTCGCGCGTCGAATGAAGCGGCCGCTCGGCGTCGCGACGCCACCTGTACGAACCCGCGTTTTTCACGAGCGGAAAGCCTGTTGTTCTGCAAGGTTTCTAAGGAGGATCCCTTGTATATTCGCGTCCGGTTCCAGGACGAATGAATAAAGAAGTAAGGTGAATTAAGAATTCATACTGAAACTACTTTGACAGTCGTTGTTGATTTCTTCCGGCAGAACTGCATTCTTTTACCTGGGACTAGCGCGGCGTTCGATCGTCTCGCAAAATGGAATATGCGATGCGCCGTGTGTTTATCTTCCCCGGCAGCGTCAATAACCGCGTGTCATAGTAAGGATAAGTTACGTTATAATGATAGAAGCACCGTCGTGAAATTTATAAGAATTTGATAGAACAAAATTTTCCAAGAATCTCCGTCGCGTTACAACTTCCTAGCAATCAGTATTATATCTTTTTCTTGATTATAAACAAGCACAAACGAAAGAAAACGATGAATTCAGAGAAAGATAAATAATTACTCATATCAGAACGCATTACCGTTAATGCTTTAGTCAAGCTCATCCTTCGCGCGATAAGCTGCTAATCAAACAAAGTAATCCCATTGTGCAGGTGACACGCGCTGACATTATTAAAATTGAGCGGCAAGGTCAAGAGAATTAATAAAGCCTGATCTACAATGTGCTCTTCGGCGTCTAGAAACATTCGATTTTATAGCCAATAAATAATACATTTAAAAAATTTGTGTAAGTTGATAAGTTGTATTGTACATTATGCATTGTCGATAAATTTTTTTCACAGCATGCTCGTAAAAGATTGAATGTCTCTAATCGCCACAAGCGCATTGTAGAGCAGGTTTAAATCCCCCGTGAAACGAGGCATTTTGTTTCGCGGAAATACGCGTTAGTACATAATTAAATGAGGCTAATCTCACGATATTTAACGGCACCGTAATAATTGATAATAATTGCAGCGTCTAATGTGATGAAATACCTAATGTAGAAACGAATTCATTACGAAATGCGTGTTTTTTTTGTTAATCGAGCAGCGATTGTTTGATACGAAAATAACTTTAGTCAATATCTTCGTGAAGAAAAACTTTCAGGGGTGACTATTATCTCTCGTTCATCGGCGCTGTCGCAGTAACCCTGACAGGCTGGTCGACCAAGGAAACGACGACTATCGAAATATTACATTTCGTCACGTTCTAATTTCCTTTAGCGGTTGTCTTACGTTAATTTTCTAGTCTTACTCATACTTGCTCTCGTATCACGGTGCTGCAATCGATGTTAGTGGGTACGGTGCAATGACACATCGATCATGCTTACGGCTTATGTCTCTGTGCCGCGCGAACTCTTCAGCTGACTTTGCTTTTGTTGAAACGTACAGTACGTCACGTCAAAGGTAATTGAAAGATTGAAAAGCTTGTTACACGTCCCAGACGAATCGGTACACTAGCTTATATTTTAATATAACAAACTACAAATTTGTACATGAATTGCAGATTAGATGCAGATGATTGATTAGATGAAAAGACAATAAAAATGTATCGTAGAACAATGGTACACGTAGTATAGTTCTGTTATCTAAAATGTATCGTACAACAACGTAGGTAGTGTGTTGTATAGTTCTATGATCTAAAACTACGACAATTACCTTTTTGATCGCAACTCCAAGAAATAAGATAATATCGAGAGAAGTCGCCTTTACAATACCGCGGACAAATGTGTCGCCTCTCTGTACTACTTAATGAAGAACTCCATTCTCGTTTCTTAACGGAACGCCGACGAGAATGTGTGCTCCGTTTAAATCGCCACGATATCGAAAGCGTATCCCCGATTCATCGTATTACAATTTACAAAGTATTACATAAAACACTTTTTATCTCGAAACAGTAAAACGCGTTCGAAAGCTACGAGTAACTTCGTAAGACTGACGATGTGCATAGTTTTCCACGTGTCCTATTCACGTACGTGCTATATTATTTATGAAAGGTATAGCTTCGGTGCCATGTTGCCTCCATGGAAGCGGCAGTTAAACTTCTTAAATGGTGTAGATGGCCGAACATATTTTGTTTAGAACTCAAACTTTATTTCTATGAAATGTTCCCGAAATTATGACGAATTACGAGATATATTAACAAAGCAATATACCACTCCCTGCAAAGTTACGAGGGGTGATCGATTAAAGTGGGACACCCTTTATAGAGCATATAATTTTACTCTCTTTATGATAATCTTTTAATGTGGAACCAAAGTAATCGATCGTGTTCAGATATATTGAAATTTAGGATGTACTACATTACGTAAAGAGGTGTTTCGTATTGCTGGCTATTATGTGCGACATGATCTATTATGTGATGCACAGTTTACATACGTAGGAGGTCAATATATATGTACGCTGTGCACGGTAATTTCGATTCCTTTTATTTGTCAGAATGTACTCGGAAGTGATTGAGTAAATTGGCAAGCGTTAGCAAATTCCAATCGCCACAGTGTCAAAGTGGTTTAGCTTTAAAAGGAGGACCTGGTCATTCGGCGATCAGAACGATTATTACCGCGAGATCGTTACGAGTTACGTTTACTCGATTACGAAAATGTTCGCGATTTTCGCGCTTTTTCTGTTTTCCACGGTCCTCGCTACTGGTAAGTGATTTTACTCCTAATTCAGCATACAGCTGAGAGATCCTATTTTTAGCGATTGAATTTTTCAAGTGTTTAACTTCGCACTCGAGTAACTTAACGCTTAGCATAATTGACCTCAGACAGGAGCTTGAACAGGACGGACTTGAAATGTGCGGGACACGCTTTCCACAACGTGTCTCTTTCCGCATATTATCCCGTATTCGGGACGGACGATAAACGTAATCACCTCGACGACCAAGGAAAAATGCTGAGTACTCTTCAGGTTCGTAACCGTGACAGACGCAGTGTGGCATCCGACCGCAAAAACGACTCGCGGATCATTCTTCTCTCTGCTATGTTCAAATCCATTTTAGGATTACCTTGATGGCCGCGCTCGTTACGTCACCGTTGCCGGTAATTTGAGATCTGGCATTCCGTATGGAACGAAAGTATGCGTTGAAAAGTTGAATGAGCAATTCGGGAGACAAATTCACCTGCAGGTGCGTAATCGCGTTACGTTTGCTGTACTATATCTACGAGAGTTCGACTCAGCAGTGATATTTTCCGTGACACATTGATAATGTAAAACTAATTAAATAATTTATTTCACCTCAGATACGGGACCAGAGTGATTACGAGAACAATGACGCCGCAATCGATTTCTCGAGATTGGAAATTTGTGTCAGGTCCGAGGAAGATACTTACGATACCTATCTCAACGGCCTTGTCACCGTCCACGTATAATAATCACATAAAAATTCCGTGCTCGATTGTTAGCCGCCAATAATGTTTGTTTGACAATACTGTCTGAATAAAATTAATATTAATGTAATTTTCTGAATTAAATTAAATTAATAATAAGATATGTGCTGGTATACGTGGAATCAAATTAAATCAGATTAATGTACATAAACAAAGACTGTTTCGTTCATTTTTACAAATACCTATGTATTAATTAATTCGATAAATTGATATATTCGTATAAAATTATCGACGGCACAAATTTTTACATCTACAGAGTTGTTATGAGATTCATAAATATTTGTATAATTGATTACGTAATCACGGTTTACGATCGCAACTGATAAAAAAACGTGACGCATGTACAAATAATATATTTAGTTTATTCACTTTCCGACCAATTAGACCACGATTTTATCATTGTATAAAGACTGTCTCCGGGACATACGGTTGCCCAGGTTTGTCGATGCCCAAGAAGCTTGTAATCACTCTTTATTTTGCCGTTGGCTACTCCATGAGCGATTAAGTTGGCTACCGCCTGTACCGCCGCTGCATTTGGTGTTCGGTCTAATGAGAAAAAAAAACATTACAGAAATACATGTTACATATAAACAATACTGATGACAAATCCGTGTTAGTTTTTATGTTACTTACTTTTGTAATCTCCGATAATGCAAATTCCAATGCTCTTCCTATTGAAAGGTACAGAATGAGCGCCTCGCTTGCCCCACCCGCGACCCTCGTAAACGTTTCCGTCTTCACCGACTAGAAAATTGTAGCCAATATCGTCCCATCCTCTTCGATTCATGTGATCATTCTTGAAATAAAATTTGACTAATCGTTACGCTATGCAAAAGTATCATTAAATTTATTATTTGTTAAAACACAAAATAAAGAACAAAAGTAGAAACAGGCGATTCTTAATATTTAATAGAGAATACGTTTGTTATAATTTAAAATATTACTTGATTGAGTCATGATGTTTGCGTACAAAGGTTCGGCAGTTGAAAAATTTGCTGTTCAGAAAAATTTTATTTTCTGATATGAGTTACCTGGAATTGTCTCACTTTTAACTGGCACAGAGCTTGTGATTCGCAACCGGATCCAGTCGAATGATGAATAATCACGTAAGGCGCTGGATTTAATTTTAGATTACCAGCTTGCGATTTCGGTGCTCTAGCGCCCCATTGTGATCTAGAAATGATGTTTGGGTCATCTAAAAAAGCGGTTAAAATCAGAAACAAATGATTGCGCTTTACATAAAAATATAGCAACAAGTTTAATATTAAAATCTGATTTATTTCATTGAATTCAAAAAAGCTGTTATTTTAATTTTTTAAAAGAATTTTGAACGTAGAACTGTATTTCATCCAATTTTTTTTAGAGAACGAACGCGGAGATTCACGAGCCCACATGTTTTTTATATGGGTGGCCTCTTTATAATTTACGTGAACAGAATTCTTTATATCGCTCGGCCGATAGCATTGTATTTCTCAAACACGAATCCTTGAATACTAAGGAATCGAGTGAATGTTATTTTAGGATAATTATATACCTGTCTCTAATTTTTATTTGCCACAAAAATATAAATATAGTAGAAACTATTTATACAAACCGCGATGAGTATGAACATTGCTCACTCCTAAATGGCGTTGAAATTATTTTTATTTGCTATTCTAGCTTGAGAGAGAAATAATTTGAAATGCAAATAATGTCATTGACATGTTGACGTGATATCTTAAGAATTATTGCTAGACGCGAGACGCAATCAAAATAATTTATTATGCCGGTCGTAAATATTTTGCTTTATACAAATAGATTTAGCCGCGACACTTGTCGCGCTACATTATTAATCATTCATTAGCAGCAGTTTCCATGACTCGTCGTATAATGAGTTTCGATCGATCAAGGAAACACGAGGAGAGCCATTATAGTGGAAAATTTATTAATCAATAGCGTTTATAATAATTTTGTTGCAAAATTATTTGCGATTACTATTACGTAAAGCATAAAAGTAATTTGTATTAACTGTCTTTGAAACTACGAATAGAACTTCTACGCTCACGCAAAATATTCTTTCACAGAAACACATTTTTTCACGCAATTGCAAGAAATGTCTTAAGCGGCCTTTTCATTGACGCTACGATTTAGCGTCAAATATAGTCACGTGACAAATATAGTGACTAGGGCTGCGTTCAGAAACGTCACCCGAATGCACCGGTGTATCATTTTATCCTTGTTTAACATACAGTGAACAACAAGGATAGAATAATACGCTGGAGTACTCGGGTGGTGTTTCTGAACGCAGTCCTTGCGACACCCAGTCACACCACGGCACACTGAAAAGTTGAGACGGTCTCAACTTTTCCCCCCCTACGTCGAGAAGTCACTAGAGAACTCATTTGCCGCTGGTTTCTAGCGTCAATGAAATTGCACCTTTAAAAATCGATGACCACAGAGACGCGAGGCGAAGTTCACGGCTTAACTCGCGGTATAAATAACATATTTAATGAATTACTGGCAGCAGCCTCCTGGAGGATGAGTGTCACGTAGACCGTCGCGAAGATTAATGTTGTCCTCGTCGCGATGTACATTTTGACTAGCAAAACGATACTGATGCTGCACGCGACTTGGCGTACAATATATACCAAAGCACTTTTAATCCAAGATGTTGTTCTCGGGACATGATCTTTGACCATATGGCCTATGACAGATATGTACGTGCATCCATGTATGTACATGCACAGTTGACGTAGTTTCCGAGCCGAATTTCCCTGCGAGTTGTTATCTCGTGATTACGGATGAAGAAAAGGGGGATAAACTAACGGGAATTTTAACACTAAGAATAGTACTCGAGTTATTTAATTGGAATGTCAACTTGTGTATATTTACATGTATTGTAATTCAGAATTTTATCATTAGAATAATTTATTAGATAATTAATTAGGTAATGCTTTTATTAATAATGAATCTCAAAACAGTTGGTAATGGAAACTTAAGCATTTGACATAATTATTTAAACTTATTATGGGGAGAATTTTTTTATAATACTGATTTATTTTATCGTACACAAATATACAGACGTATATACAGAACCATCTATCATTAGCTAATAATAAATGTAAAATAATGCGACAATCATATTTTTCATGTGTATAAATGAATTAATGATAAATACAAGAGACACTATGTCGTTGATCATTCGCATTACTACAGCTTAGAAGGAACAGGCTTTTTTTGTGGAATATTAACGAGCTAGTCGCACAGTTGACTCAACCGTGCGATACAAAATTATTGACAAACACGAATTAGTATTTCGATTTGCTCGCGCTTCGATCGAAGCTCTGACTAATGCCACAGCAACGTACAAAAACCTACAACTCAGATTCTTGTCTCGTCCGATCTCCCTGAACTTTGCCCGAAAAACAGTATATGCTGGTAATGAAGTTGCGATTATGCTACATTACGCACGATACCGATTATCTTATCGATTCCACGGGTCCGGCAAAACGATGTTTTTATGGGAAATCCCGGGAGATAATTAATCTTCAAGATTGATTAACAAATTTCTTTTTTTTCCAGGTTCTTTACCGGGAGGTGTTCAAATACTCCGTCGTGGTCTATGCAGATTGAAGATTGCAGTAAGGTCAGTTTTTTAAATGTATACGTATATAGAATTTTTTCAAATTTTTAACCAATGGTTTTGTTGAAAAATCCGTTTTTTTAAAGACGTATCTACGATTTTTTTGTATCTTCGATATACAAAAAAATCCGATATACCCTGCTACTCAAGCAATGTTCACGAAATCCGCGATCGTAATTTGTACATTGTGGAACAGAGTAGGTACCTGATAACATTTTATCGCAGTCAATGCGAAAGTATGCCAGAGACAATCGTGCGTGGCACCGTGATATTTCGATTAGCATTGTCGCTAATTAAACGCGAAGACCGTGACCCTGTGAGCATTTATCGTAACGAGCATGGCCCTGTAAAAGTACGAGTCTTGCACGCGAACCGAGGCGCGAGTGACATTGATCTCGTTTGTCGAACTTGCGTGAGAGATATTTATGTCACAGTACCCTGGGACACACAGCTTGTTTGACTCTTTCTAACGATCTATCTAAAACGCTGCGTGTACGTAAACTTTGCATTTTACCTGACAGTTTTATCGGCGACTATCTTGACTACTGTTACGTATAAGTTAGCGCGGGGAGCCTTAAGCATACGGGGTCACTTTGTACATCGGGGGAATCACCTTCGCCAGACGGAGAAAGTCGTTTTTCTTTTATTTCAACGGCCGTTCGCGTCAGCGAGAATGCTTGTAATGATAAGCAGAGGTACCAACGGTTATATCTGGTACTTACCATACCGAGAGAAAGCTATTATATACATATAATACAAAATTAAACTCTGTTTACTAATTAACGTAAGCGGATTTTTAGAAGCTACTGACATAACCACGCGATTCTATCAGACTCTTTATGTATATAAAAGAAAAATACGCAGCAGGGTCGGCGTAAGAGATACAACTGTAAGTATCCTTTCTAATAGGAACAAAATAATACTTACGATCCCTCGTTACGTCAAATCTTCGTTCTATACTTAGGATTCTTTGTAATTGCGTTCTATTTGACAACGATTTAGAAACGCCATCGTGGAATGGCGCTCGATTTGCTGTTTCTTTAGAGTTTAGACGGTATCGTTGTCCTGCGCTATCGGCATCGTCGTCGTGGTCGAACGATTGTGAGGTATCGGACTTGCGGTCCAGCCGGGAAGGGCAACTACGTATTTGTAAAAGCTCTCGCCGGGGCATTCCGTGTCCCGCGTTTGTCGATGACCAATGACGTTGTAGTCGTCCCTTATCTTGTCGAGTGAAACCCCACAGGCTATCAGCTCGTTCAACGTCTTCAGAGCAGCCGCGTTCGGGAGAAAGTCTGCGAAATCACATTTACGTGCGTCACAAGGAGTCCTCTGACGCAGAAGCTCTTTTTTTTTGCGGTACGATATCTCAAGGAAGGCGCATCGCATGTCGCTTTACATAGAGAAGATGAATTTTCTCGTAAAGTCGACTTGTGATAACACTTTTGAACTTTCGAGTAATTTATCCATGATCAATGCTTCTTAATTATAATAAGAAGCTCGCGCAGAAACAAGAATTATTTTCCAACGAGAAAACCTTGACGATTATTATTCCCAACGATTTTCCGTAAATTCTTAATCTCTTCTCGATGTTATTTGGTCCGGCGATACATCAATCGTGCTTGTAATGTCTTAATTACCGCTGAAGTGTCCCAAGAAGCATATGCCGATGCTCTGAGTGTTGTATCCAGGTGCGTGCGCGCCAGTGTAATCCCAGCCGCGACCCTCGTAGACGTTACCGTCCTCGCCAATGAGGAAATTATAGCCAATGTCCCACCAGCCCCGATCGTCCAGGTGCAAGTTCTGGTAGGATCTAACGATCGCGGAGCACGTCTCCTGATCTTTACAATAATTAGGTATGCCGCCGTGATGGATCACCACGTACGGTACCGGTGTCACCGGCATTATCTCGAAATCGAGACGCTTCCTGGCTTTCCATTCCTTTCGGCTGACGATTCTCGGGCACTCTGGAGAACCGAGAAATCCATTATTCTCGAATTAACTTCATTCTTTGAAGACTAGGGGCCAGTTTCACAAACGTCGGTTAACAGCTAATCGAAGATTTATTGATTCTCTGTCTCTTCTTAGATAACAAGATAGAAGAAGATAGGAAGTTGACTGAACTCTCGTTAACAGTTCGCCAACGTTTGTGAAATTGGCCCTTAGGGCCAGTTTCACAAACATCGGTTAATTGCTAACCGAAGGTTAATTGATCCTCTGTCTCTTCTTAAATAATACGATGGAAAAAGATAGGGAGTCGACTGAACCCTAGTTAACAGTTAACCGATGTTCGCGAAACTGGCCCTTAGTCTTACAAAATCGACGGGAAGCTTTAACGTGCGTAATTATTGTTATTTAATGTCTGATAAATCCTTGATAAGAATAATGATAAAAAATTACGATTTTCCTGCATCGTTGCGCAGAGCTTGGCAGGTATAAATTGGAGTCAACTAATGGGTTAGTGAGCACGCTTTCAGCAATTAGTTGCGCAATTGCAAATATACTTCTAACGTGCAGAAATTATTTCGTCCTTGAGGTACGGTAGATTACCCGGTCGGATTCCCGCATAACATAAAATAATTTCGGCTCGGACGCGCGTCCCGCAGGTGTGGCGGAAAACTCTGGAAAACTACTGACTAATTATCGAAGCGCGCTTGTCATCACGAGGCGCGCACAATTATTTGTTGCGCTACTGTATCGCACGTCTTTATACCTTCAACAATTTTACTTTCTGTCGATGCGCGTCCATTCACGCAAATCAACTTATCGACACGATATACTATTTGACAGGGCAATTTTACAGAGAACGTAAATTCTTAATAGACTTCAAAGAGGAAACTGTCACGCGCGGTTCTCCCTCATAGAAACACTGTAAACAGGTTTTCGAACTTTGGCCGATTATCCGTGCATTTTCGTCAAGTCGCACGATACCGTATCATGTCAGCGTACTATGTTTAAACAACTGATTCGTTTTACTTTGATATTAAACGTCGCAACACCGTTACTGGAAAACTGGACACTAACGCCACTGCTCCGTTGTAGGTACTTTTAGCAAAAGTTGCGCTGTGTGAGCGGCGCATTTATTATTCTTATCATATCTAAACGTGGAGTTCATTACGACGATTAAAATACTTTAGGTTGCATGCAAGTGACGCACGATAGCAAAGTTCGAGAAATCGCAGATCTCTCCGAGCTCGTCGACGATGGAATAAAAGTTAATTAAAAATTATTTTGGCGCGGATTCACAATACCTTTTTATTATATTTGCACGCGTAAAAAATAATGCACGTGGAAAATGTAAATGCAACTAGCTTTTATCATTAGATAAACTGAAAGAAGCACGAGACACTTTTTCACCTCGAGAGATTTACGCGTATAAAAATCAAGAGAGTACAATTAAAGACTTGATATAAAAAGACTATAAGAGCTACACGGAGAGAATTTTCTCTTACAATTTATCCTGCAAATTATGTGATCGTGGGACAACATGGCATTTTGAAGAACTTTATGCGAGTATCTTAAAACTTTACCATACATTTTATTAGTAAAATGTGTATTAAGTATAATTACTAGCGAAATGTACGGTGAAAGTAAAAAAAACTCGTAAAATTCTTCGAAATGCCACGTTGTCCCACGATCACATAATTTTCAGAATAAATTTTAAAAGAAAATTCTCTCCGTGTACGAAGAATAATATTAGGAAAAGTTACTTTGCTAGATAACTTCATATTTATTTTTAATAATAAATAACTTGATTATAAAAAAATTGTTATTTAATTATAAGTAACGATTGCTGATCAATTTAATCGTACAAATTTTCTTCTATAAATATCTAATTGTGCGAGCTCGCACAATATTGCCAGCTATGTCACGCAGTTTCTTCGACGAGAAAGAATCAATTCTGACAACACGATATATTTTCTATACCGTAAGTCTCCGATTCCCGGGTAGCTTACCGGTTGCATTCGTGATGAAATTCGTGTTGTCATAGTCAATGGGAACGGCGAGCACCGCGTGCTCGAGGAGACCGAGTAGAAGTACGAGGGCACACAACGCGGACAATCGGATGAGGTAGGACGATCTCATGGCGATTGATATCGTTACAGCGCGTGTCGAAAGTCAAACTGGATAGCCATCGTGTTGGCGCGTCCGCTTTTAAACGAAAAACCGAACGTTAACCGAGGGGAATTCCCTCGTCGAGGAGCCGCACGTCAAGAACCAACTCGTTCGGTAGTCCCTTAACCCTGTCCCCTCTTCGGCCCGTCTGTCACGGCGACCGCAACGTCGAGAGTGACGACACCGAGGAAGAGCGACGCTTCTTCGAGCCTCACTAGCTGTCCGAAAATTCGCACGATGCTTGCGCAGACTGCGATTGCGATCGGAACACGGAAGGACGAGGAATTGCGCCTGTCTGTGCGATAAGAAATCGAACGCCATTGAGATTGATGAGATTGGCAGGGCGATTGAGTAACCATGCGACGAGAAATTATACAGTGGAAATTATCACGCAAAGAAGAGGCATGAGGGAAAGCCTATATATCGACATAATTATATAGAGGGAAGTCTTCAACATCCAACTTCAATCGCAAATCTTGTTTTCGCAACGATTACATGATCTAACAATAAATTTTCCACTAAACAGATTTCATTTCAAAAACAATAAATACATGATGGAGCCAACAGTGGGCAAGTTCTGTATCTTACACTGTAGTGAAAATACTAAAAGTGAGTGTCTCTTTCTAACTGTCTCCTTAGAAAGAGACAGAGCCGCTCACTTTTAGCATTTTCACTGTGTTGCAAGATACAGAATTAACTCTCAGATGATGCTTATTAATGTAGCAGAAACCATACTATCTTATTGTATAAGGAGTCTATCTCATAATAGGAGACCTTTCTCTACTATTGACATTGGTGCGTTTACACATTGTAAAAAGTTAGAGGCGGAGTACTGCAAAAGTTTATCAAATATAAGTAACCGAAGAGAATGTGTGAGGTATAAGCTCACTGTCTAGAAAAAAAACATTTTATTCTTCAGTACAGGGTTTGTAATACGAGCTTTTATGCAGGTTAATATCAGGTTTGCGATTTTTCAAGTCTCGAAACTACTTTACTTTCTCGATTAATTGATTTATTGTACAGATTGTTCTTATTAACGTGGTTTATTATGTTTTTCTTCGCGAGTTAGTGGTTACGTTACGACAAACTGTGATTTGCAGCCTTATCGAACCGGATCGTAAATTTCCGATAAGTAGGTATCTGGAAATTACGTAAACTAATCAATATCGCGCGACAAGTTAGACACAACATATAAAATTCTACTTATAGCGAATTAAGTTGCACTAGTGCGCTCTGAGTGCATACTAAGGCTTGCATACAGTCGATTCTTATATTTAAGCAACTTAAATATCTCTTCAAATATTTTTTAACCAGCAAAATGATCTGTATATAGTATGTACGGATCATTTTTTGACTAAATACTCTTTGAACATGTACTTAAGACAAAGTTCAACATAAGAATTATTGACCATAAACAAGCTTTAGTGTGCGCTCAGTGCGCACTAGTGCAAACAATCGAATTCGCTATTAGTGAATCGACTTGAATTATTTTTCCATTACGATCGCTTCGATCGAGAATCTTCGATAGGCGCGTAATTTGTTTAAATGTCCGAGCATTCCTACATGCGAATAATATTGATAACATACCTTTTTCATACGCGTTTGGCTATCTGTGCCATAATATCTGACAGATAACAACATATTTGTCTTCTGGTGAAAATACGATGCAATTTGCAGAGACGAGACGTTTAAATTGCTTCTGTCCAGTATATATTAATGTGTCTCGCTGCATGTATATTTGAATGGTAAATGCATTAGAGATATTCTTGCATGTGCACATACACGCAATAATGTGAAAATAATTGAAATAGACAAAAACGTTGCTCTGCGTTCAACGCCGACGTGACAGACTCGATTTCACCGAGTTGCAGTAGGCAAAATATGTGTCGGCCGACGTGCGCATTTTTCTTCTGCTCCTACTTGGAATAATAATCGTCAACGCGTATAACGAGGGCATACACTGTTACCTGTGTTCGCGCAAGTGTGTGATTTCGAGATAACGCCTTACTCACGAGAGGCGTCGAATGACTTTTGTTTACCCATCGTAGTGCGCTGTCATAGCTGTCAACTAATTGTTTCCTGCGATCGTTTGCCATTGGCGTAACTCTCACGGCACACCGGAATATTTCTTAAAGAAACGATATTCCGCTTCTTGTAACGATGTAATTAACTACACGTTAACAAAGCCGTTAGATTCTACGCGACTTAATTGCTGCAGAACTCACGTCGAAACCCGCGAACGCGCCAAAGAGTACGCGGATAATTCTACCGGAAATAGGCGCCGGGTGATGCAGCATGATTGCTGAAGAAAAAAGTGAAGGAAAAAAAACGGAGAAAAATCACTGCCTTAGATAATCGCGATGAAATCGCTAGCTATTGGCGCAGACCGCGAATAATGGCGGTTGTTATCGAAGCAGTAAAAGTTGAAGGACCATTTAAAAAAACCGCAAAACGTACGATTGCCGCCGACATGAAATGTAATTATGTGAAAAGCATCGTAGTAGCTATAACTTTGAACGGTAAAATAGTAGTAATTAATGTAACGTAAGAGTGTAAGCCGAGCAGGTCTTATGACACCCACGGAAAAAATGTCCGGATCCAATGCTATTACACTTCAAAGTATCGTAAAATAGGATCGATGTAGCGCCAATCATTTTATTATAAAGGAATTATTAATTTTTTGATAAAGAAAGGAATATTTTAATCTTAAATGAAAAATTCTAAAATCTAGAATAAAACGATAGTACACTCTAAATAATAAGTG